TACACAGCCCAGATTCTGAGATTTCAAACTGCAGCACAGGGATTACTCTTTGAGCGTGGCATGCAGGAGTAAGTAGCATCCCTTGGCAAATGCTCTCTGGCACGCGTGACTAACAGAAGGTGACAAAATACTGTCAAACATATTGAGTAAATGCTGGAAAGATTAGGTTGTTCAAACTGTGTTTGCAAACCTGCTGTGCTAACTCTGGTAAATGGAGCCCTGTAGTACAGCTGCACATGGCCCATCAGCTCCAGGTAGGACCTGTCCAGGATTCAACAAGACTTCCTAGGATATTCCTAGTTCCTATGGGAGACAAAACCTGACAGTTCATTCTCTAGTAAGTCATAGATCAGGTGGGTTAGTGCCTTTATTAGGGAGGAGGAAAGTGCTTTGTGACTTCCATTTTCTCAGCTAGCTGGAGCCCTGAGTGGTAGAGTCTACATCACTCCTTTCCCCCAGACATGCTCCCCAAACAGAAAAGTCACAGGTGGAAAATACAGAAATCTGCATCAAGGAGCATCTAGGAAACAGCTCCAGATGGGTTAGTACAGCAGCAGCAACACAGGCTTCCATGGAGGTTAGGAGGATAAAGCTGACGCCTACAGCTATGAAAGTCTGAATCTTTTCAAGCATTTGCTCTAGACTAGAGACAGAAGATGAACAGATATCTAAATAGAACAATGTGTAACTGGAATCTAAAACTAACAATGCTGAAAATACTCTTTGCAAAGTCAACACCTATATGGATCTCAGTTGCAAATGAAAGTTTTTGCTTGACTGACTACAGGAAAACAACTGAAAAAAAAGGGATTTTTTTTCCTTTTGCTAGGCAACGAAATGGATTCCTCCCACATCAAAAGCTCCAATTCTTAAGAAATAATATAAAACAAATAAGAAACCTCCACATATCATTAATCAGCAGTGATGGGCAGAAGAGTAGCACTGATGTCAATGAAATGGCACTACAGCTCAGAACATTCCTCTGCTGAAAACTTCCTCAAGTTGAGGCATTATTTTTAAAACATCCAGATTTGCCTCATTATCATCCTGTACCTGTAAATGAAATTGATTCTGGTGAGAATATTATTCCAGGATCAGCAGTAAGGATGACATATTCACACAAACATCCAGCCAATTCCAAGAATGGACTTGATATTTAACTATATATGAAACAGTTGTGTGTTGATAGAGAGTCAAAGTGATTGCTCCTTACACACAGCAGACTCACAAATACCCTGAGGCACCATGGCAGTGATGCTCAAGGTGCATCACTCCTTCCTTCCTTGCAGCAGAATACACAGTACTGGCCATGGCAGCCAAACTCACAGCAACAAAGGGCTCTGCTTTGCTAAGTCCTCAAGTTGTCATCACAGGCAAGGTGGCAGTGGAATAAAAGGGTGACAGTAAGACATGGCCTTCTTTGACCCACGGATTTAGGAGGCATGGCACAACTACCCAATGTTTCCTCATGTATCTTTGGGGATAGTCTTGCAAAGAGGTTGCTCCAAAAAAGAATGGAAATTTTTAAAATCCTTCCTGGCCTCAATTACACTCTTTCTGAATATATTTTTAATTGCAACAGTAAAGACAGCACCAGTATCCACCAAAAGATAAGATGCTCCTAACAAAAGAGATGCAATTGAATAAAACAAGTCTGAAAACTACATCACTACAGAAGTGTAGGCAGAGAAAGTTGATGCACATTGAGCAGTTGACCACAGCACATTCAGTTCAGGGTCAGTGAAAATAACACATTCACCTGCAGAAGTATTAATGCCTTAACAATAAAGCAAAAACAGGAATTCCTTGGATCAGTCTTGTCATTTTATAATCTTACACTAAGCTGCTCCTGCTGTAGTCCTTGACAGGCCATGACATCTGGTAAAGTACTACCCCAATGGCACTGCTTGCAATATGGCTGTACCAGCTCAGACAATCTCCTCAGTGGTTCTGAAGGTTGTTTCTCTATTATACTAAATAGTTGCTTAGCACATGTATAACAAGAAAACCAAGAACAATATATGCAACAGCTCTTTCCCCAGTTTCTCATCACTTTTCCTTGACCATGTCTATTAAATAATTAATCCAGAACACACATTCCATAGCTCCAATCAACACCTTCTTGAACACCTGCCTAGGAAAAATAAAAGGTCTGATCGAGGGAAATCTAATTTTATTTGACTTAGAGGTGTAGAGCAATTCAATAAAGCCCTTTTAATTAACCAGTGTAAACGTTTCAGGATGGATAATTAATGAAAAGCTGGTAATTTAGTAATAGGTCCCAGCATACCTGCTCATTTTTTGTCCAGCTTCAGATACAAGATTGGATAGGGAGAAGAAAAATCAGTGTCTTTTCCCCAAGGAGTTTCCAGAATGCTGGCTTTGCCACACCACTACAGAAGCTGAAGAGGGTCTCTAACCCACAGTAAAGCCAGGATTGTATTTGCATCTTAGTGAAGCTATTTTGAAGGTGCCAACTTTAAAGCAGTGCTGCAATCCTCTTCCCCAACTTTTCTATTACCAGTCAAAGTCTGGCAGGCTGTCCCTCCTCAGCTAACAACAACTCCAGGTCTTGGAAGGGTGTGGAGATGGGGAGGAAAGCTCTTGCATGGTGAGCAAATACAGAACCCAACAACGTGTGGATATGTCATCAGATGGTGATAAAGCAGCCACCTTTATTGCACTTAGAGGGCATCACCTGAAGAGAGAGCATGTCTCTGTGTGATGGGCATTTATACAGGTGGTTTGAGGGGGTTAAGGTGGCACACTAATCCTAGTGTCTCCCAAATTATCTGTGACCATTCATACTTTACATACTTTTCAAGTGATAAACAGACTAGCATTTTTAAGCTGGAAACGACATATTCTTCTGCAAAAGTGCAAGATCAACAGGCAGTAGTTAAACATAAGAAAATTAATTCAAAACAGGTTTTTTAAAAAATCATCCAAAGTAATTTTCTACAAAAAAAATTAACTTCTGAAGCTCATTGATACAGGATGTTATATAGAGGGCAATATAAAAATCAAAAGGAAACAAAATAATGGAAAACAAAGCCAGCATATCTGTTACGATAGAAGCCACCTTTTTCTCAGCAACTAACTAAGCAGCAAAATACCAAAACTAAGGATAGCCATTTGTGAGAGATCTCTTGCACACCCGTGCACTTCACATGCTATCTCCCTACACTTGGACAACTTCCAAAAATAAGATGCAAGGCAAATATGAAAGTCTCAGAATTTTGTCACTCAGCTTTAGGTCTCTAAAAATGTAGAAACAATGCATGTTCCAATTAATTCATTCAAGATTACTCCCATTTTCTGAGAAAAATCAAACATTTGCATGATATGAAAAATTAAAGAACGTACTGGGTTAAAAAGTGAGGAAAAAATTACAAGTTCACCTATCCCAACTTGCCATTGTTGTTGTTAGTTAGGTATTTCAACTTGCTTCATTTGCAATATTTTGTTATGTCAGAGCATTTGGCTTCCACTGATGAAAACCTGATTTTAAAAATCAGTCCAAACTCACTCAACACAAAAAATCGAGTACCATTTCTGGTGTGGAAAGTATTTTTTAGGAACAAAACACAAAGCATCGCATGTTCACATGTCAACACCTGCGTCATTAAGTTTTGGTTTTTTAAAAATCTATCTCCTACTATCTTTCCTACTTAACAGACTGCTGTGACATATACACCTCTACAAATATTAAACTAGTACTGCCACCACGATTTCTGTCATTTTTAAGCAAAGAAAAAGTCACGTTTATTTTGTAGTAGCAATAGTTTCTTTTTTATTTTTAATATACTTTAGGAAACAATATACAAAGCTGAGCTTTTCCACCATTTTCAAACGGTGAGTTGCTCCAATTACACAAATTCAGCGTTTTGTGATGGTTAAGAACAGCAGTCAGCACCAGACTTAAACAGTTAGCTACAACACAAACATCCTTCGAAATGAAATGTCATAATATCAAGACAGGTAAACCAGGAGTTAACATATGACAACTGTTGGGGAGGTGTCTTAAATCATCCTTGTTGAATTTTATATTTCCTTAAATATTTTATACATATTTTCCTGTTTACAAGCTTTAAACAAAACCTCCCTTGAGGAATTATTTAAGTACAAAAATGTTCAACAAGAACAGTTCTAATAAAGAATCCCCAAAAAGACCAAATTTTAATGTGTTGACCAAAGGAAATGAAAACCAGTGTTTCTTTGCTTTAACATGTTTATTACAACAGATACAATTCACATCTGACTAGCTTTTTTTTTTTTCCTCTTTCCCCTCCCACAACCATGTTAACATGTTCATTGGGCTATTTCCTTATATTTGAGCAAGTAATGTACTTTCAGCACACATGCCCAGCAGTACTCTAAGTCCATTCTTACAGGGTGCAAATGGAAATACGTTTCAATAATTTATACAAACAAGTGGGTTATGCTCAATCACTGCAATTTTAAGCTACTGTACACAGGAATGAAAAGATTATAGAAAAAGTGCCATAGCAACAGTGCCTTAAGAAAAGAGAAAATTAGAAGCATTAAAAAGCTGATAAAATCAGATTTAGGATTTCACGGGGAAATGGAACACAGAAGATGAAAAACATTTCTCTGTAAAACAGAAATGGAGAAGCACTGCTCTCGACTCGGTGCAAGTGTGGAAACAGTTGTTTCGTGGTATTTTGTACATTGCCCAAACTGTTGCAGCCTTAGACACAAATCGCCTGGCGCTTGCATTGAATTTTAGGAAATGAAAAATTTCTGAATGATAAATTAACTAAAAAAAAAAAAAAAAAAAAAAAAAAAAAAAAAAAAAAAAAAAAAAAGAAAAAAAAAAGAAAAAAAAAAAAGAAAGCTAATTTTGCAGACAGGTTTACATGTAAGAGGCTAGGTATTTAGCCACCTCAGCATTGATTAGTTTTGGATGTCTAAGCTCTGATACACATGGCTTCCCATGGCTTCACTCTACAAAATATATTTACAACGTGAAGAATACATCTACAAGAAATCTACATTTCAAGGGTTTTACAAATCATTCTTGTATCTTTCCCCTGAATTTGACTCCCTCCTGTCCCCTTCCCCATGTCAACTTTTTTTTCTGCCCAGCTCAACGGTCCAAAGTCTACTCAAATGCAGCTCAAAAGTGTTAAGACTGGGCATCAGTTTAATAGTTCCTGTACTCAAAACCATGTGCAATTGTTTACAACTTTTCACACCATGAAGGAATTCTGATTCTTTAGCTTTTCAAGTTCTTTAATTTGTTGCCTCAAAAATAGTATCCTGCAAGAGAAAAGAAACAAATTATAAACATTTCCATTACACAGATGTATTAATTAAGTACACAAGCACTTCTACAATCTCAGTGAAAGACACCAAGTTGCTTAGCCCCATTAAAAAATTCAGGTATCAAGTTAATTCCCAATCTGTTCAATAACCTCCAGCCATATGCAGATGCACAAAGGCTTAGTGCGTTTGACACCAGTCCAAAAAACTAAGCTGCTCCATTTCTACTACGATTGATACAGAGTTATGTTCAGGTCTGCTCTCCACTGGAATGTAGCTCCCAGAAAAAGCAGGACACTGGCAAGTAAGCCAAGTAACTGAATAAGCTGGAGAACAGCATTATGCTTGTGGCACACAGTCTTCCAGATTGTAAAACAACCCAAAGTGCTAATTTTTTTTTAAAAAGTGAGTTTTCCTCTCCCACGCTTTTTAAAAAGTATTTGGCTCTGTGGCTATTGGTAGTCTCTAGTTATGGTAAGTTCCAATCTCAAAACATTTGAGGCAACATTAAAGGGCATCTAAGAAAAAAAAGTTGTAACTACACCTTGCTTAAAAATAAATAATATTGCTCAGAACTTTTTATACATTTTTCTTCTTGTTCTCAACTGACATAAGCAATTACTGCAACTAACAAACATCTGGTTCACAGGACTGTTTCCCAGAATTTTTAATGAACATTTTGAAACCACTTTTCATGATGCTGAAGTGTAACGCAAACATGTCGGCGAAGTAAGAAAATACACAGGGAGAGTTTATGTTTTATACAAATATTCTATGAAGTCTGAAGCAAATTTAATAAATGCAGAAAAAGCATCAGTTCAGCACTTTCGTGGAACACTTTACAAATATGTGCCCAGTTCATTAAAAAATAATTTTCTACTGAAAAGTGGGTGGAAATTAATATATTAGTCTATACACTGAAAAGATAACATTTAGCTTTAAGGCACAGGCATATAAAATATATCAATCAATGAAAAGTGCCTTTTCACATGCTGTCAGTTATGATTCAAACAACGTATGTTCTTTGTCTAGAGATGAAGTTCCTTCTTAGAAGAAATTTAAGTAGTACTCTTCTGTGCAGAAGTACTGAAATAGTATCATCATTTAAGTGTACTGATTTCGATAATCCCATCCTTTATGAAAGCCTCCCCCCATTAACTTGTTTACTTATGCCTTGTATTCCACATCTTTGGGATTGCAGCAAAAATAAAAGATACATGTTACTACAGGCTCAAAGTCATAATAAGAATTATCCATTGACAGTTTAAGGATACAAAGAGTACAAGAAAGAAGGTGCTACTTGATGAGCTGAAGAATGACATTTGACATGTTATTTCAATCAAATGTGCAGTCACAGACAAATGACATCTTAGGAAATTAAAACTGGATGAAACCAAGAGGTTCATTAAATATACTACAAAAATCTTAATTCGTGTAGTGAATGATGCAAAGTATTTTATGAAATAAAGCTTCAGAAAGAGTGGGAATTTTTAATTCTTTATCAGGAAAGGTTTACAAATATATTATAGCCTGCTTCTAAAGGATTGTTTCACTAACTGCCAAAAAGCAAAAGCTTCCAGGATAAATGCAGCTATTTTAACACCATGCAATGCAATTAAGGTGGCTTCAAACAGTAAATCAGAAGCACTGTATTCAAACTCTAGTGTGACTTAATAGCTGGGATAACATCATTGGAAGAGAAAACTGAGTACGAAAGCAGATACAAAATCATGCTTACTGGTGAATCTTTTGAGTATGTATTTTATGATTACAGTTTCCAATCTTGCACAAAAGTGTTCAAAAGCATGGCTGTGTATCACTTCAGTGATACACAAGACACCTTCTATCACTGACCTAAAATCTACTTTGCTATAAGCAAACATTAATTTTTCCTTAGCTTGTGATGTAAATTACACCCCTTCAAACTTGCTCTGGCTTCAGACATATTGAACCTCTCATATCAACTGTAGTGTTTCAGACCAGGATAAACTGTGCAGATATGTACCTATGCAATCTGTGCATTAAATATGGGCTGATACACCAGAAGCATGCTGAAATACAGTGAGTCAATCACTTTTTTGTAATGCACTAAGGTTTCAGCAAAGATATTTATTTTCTATCCAAGTAAAATTAGATACAGAAATTGCATATCTGGTTCTATTTAGTGGAGAGAAACAGGCAGAATGTACACAGGGAAGACAGCTTGCAAACATGGCAAGTACTGCTGTATTTATAAAGTCATCAGCAAACAGAACTCATGCAAAATAATACCAGAATGGAAGTTCTAATAACACCCTGAAAACTGAAGATAAGCACAGAGCATACACTTACCTTTGCTCACGCAAAGTTGCTTGAATTTCACATACTCGAACTAAAGACCTTAAATTCTTTAATTCAGTACAAATTTCTGACATATGCACACTTCCCATGTTATGGGCTTCCTCACGTAATCTTGATGCCTGCAGTGGTTAAACATAAAGGTTAGGATTTTAAATCATGCACTGGAAACAACTGGCAGTAGCCAGAGAATTGCTGGATGAGTGTCTCTTGAAACAGCAAAGCACTCTAATTTCAAAAGGGAGTATTAAATCAGAAGCACATTAAGTTCTCTACAAAAGCCCATTCTGAAACACAAATAAACAACACTGCTGCCCAGAAACTGTCTAACTCACGTCTATGCTAAGGCAGACTTTCTTGATCCTAATACATGTTTACCCAACCATCTTGAAAGACAGTATGTGACAGGGCCTGGAGTTTCTAAAATAATTTTTTTCAAGTAGTCCAAAGTCTGCCATTATTCCAGTGGCAGACTTAAATTTTCCATCTAATTAAGCCCTAGTGACAAAAATAACTGAATGCCATCTTCTTTCCAGCTACCTTCTACTTGACAAAACAAATTTTGCAACCCTCTTCAGGTGTTCTTTAACAGACCAACTCCATTACTTTAATATTCCCACTTAGTCAGCTTTAAACAAGCAGAAGTGTAAATTTAAAGGGCATGACCTACTGAATTCCCAATTTGTGCATTTCTTGAAGTGTCATCACTGAACTGGATATGACTCCAGAGAACTCCTCAACAGCACCAAGGAGACCAGTATAATTACTCTGAGCCCTGTGTATTACAGTGTAATAAGTAACAGGTTTTCTTTCAAGTAGCACATGGAAAAATTGTTTCAAAATACAGCCTTCCCTGCAGCATTACTATTTAGCAATATTATCCTCTGCTACACTGGGTCTGGCTGGGATGGAATTAATTCTCTTCATAGCAGTCCAGGTGGTGCCATGTTTAGAATCTGTGACCAAGCCAGCGCTGACAATACAATATTGTTTTAGCTATTTTTAAGCAGACCCTACACAGCACCAAGGGTTTTTTTTCCCTTTTCTCTCTCTGACCCCCTCTCCAACCAGCAAATACACTGTGGGTGGACAATAGGCAGGGAGGAACAAAACTGGGACAGCTGACCCGGTCTGACCTCAGGGATATTCCACACCATACAATGTGTCATGCTCAGCAGTAAAAGTGGGGGACAGTGCTACTGGGTTGCCATGGCTCAGGGACTGGCTGTGCACTGGCTGGCCGGTAGAGACTGCTTTTGCATCACCTTCGCTCATCCTCTTCTACTCTTTAACCTGCTTCTACCTCAACTCCTGTGTTTTCTCACTTTTGCCCAATTGTTTCCCCTATCCAGCTGGGGCAGAGCAAGTAAGTGGCTGTGTGGGGCTTAGCTGCCTACTGGGATTCATCCACATCTGCTTAGGTACTTGTATACTTAATTTTCCTTCCCAAAAATAATGTTATTTAGCACAGGTCTTCCTCAACTTCTGGCGTTTCTCCAATTCAAAGCAGCATTTTGTGTTGTAATTCCCTATAAGTTCTCCTTCCTGGAGTTTGTTAACATCCAGGAGTATCCTGGTCTCCAGTAGAATAAAACTGCCCATGTCTTCTCTGCACAACTCCAGTTACTGAATTGTTTTTCAGTTTTAAGTGCTTTTTATGAATTCCGTGAGGTAACTGGCGTAATTCAAGAATGTTTTAGCTATTAACTACTGCAGAGCACATTTCTTCAAGTCTAACTGCTTTAGCACATACCTGTCCCGATTCTTCTAATTTATTTACTTATTTAGTTTTCAGTTTCCTCTGGCATGTGCTCTTCTGCCCTAAATTCAAATTACACTATATATCTGACAGCTATCTGAAGAAACCAAGGCACTGCATTTTTAGTCTCTCCACTTTGATCGGCCTTATCTTCTTCACTACATACTGCACCTCTACTTTCATTCACTTTCATATCAAATATGTCACTTAGGTGCCTCAAGTGTTACTATTCAAAACTGGTCTTTAAATCACACCATCATGTGAAATCATCTGAAACAGTGGACAGGGCAATACAGCACATAGCATGTAGCACAAAGGGAGAAGTACCCAACTGAATACATGACTGCCTAGCATTAGCTGAGTTTTTTGATCTCTTTATTACCAACAAGGGAAAAAAAACCCCCAAAACCTCTGCACTGCATAAATCTGTTTTCTATATTAAGATACTTGTGAATTCAAGTACACAGTGAAAATAACACTTTCAAAACTACAGACCAAAGCCATAGTTGATGCCTGTGCTACACCATTTCCTTAAAGACACCCCATGGCAATGGCTCAGTACAGGCTGGTAATGTTTTAAAACTGATTTTAAAAAAATCAATGAAAAGAAGCAAGAATCCTAACAGGGTCTCAGTTTAGACTGTGCTTTTAAGAGTCATCTTGCAAGCTACTACCCAAAAGTCTCCCGTGGAGACTTGTGCCAGCATGCAACAACTCTTTAAAAGACCAAAGTATACTGGGCTAGGTAAGATTATTACCCCTAACAGACTGCATCAAATAGGGCTGCCTGTGGAAAGAACAGAACTAGATTCAATAACCAATATGGTTCCTTTGAGTAATACATTCCAAGCAGCTGACATGCATCCAGTTTCCTTGTATTACTACAACAGAACAGGTTTCATGCAATTAGCTATAATATATTGATGGCAGTTCGACTGGATTTCCCATTATGTAAAAACAGCCCAAATTCAGTCTGAGTACTCTACATGAATTTTCAAACAAGGTAGAGTTTCTTTTTCACTGTGTAGAACTAACAAGCCAGTAACTAAAACTGTGGAGTAGTCTCAAATAACTCTGTACCTAATTTATAACATTTTCCTCATAACCAAAATATCATTATAAAAAAATATGTTGAACTCTTATGTTCTCTGCAAATTTCAACAGAACTTTAAAAGTAAGAAAACAGTTATGAGGATAGTTACTCATCTGAGGCAATTTCAAAAGCACTGATACTTCAAGTGAGACTGAAAATGCCCAACCACTAAAGACAAACACATAAAACCTACAGGTCTGGCCCAATCCCTCTTTCCTCTCCTCTCTTCTGGCTAAGGACAAGCATAAGTATTTTAATATTTTCAATTCCTAGCAAAAGCAACCTGAGTAAGAAACCCAAATTTCAGGCTACACATTATGCACTCTTACAGGTAACAAAGGAGTACTCACCTGCTTTTCTGCATGATCTGCAGGCCAGCCTTGAACATGCTTTATAAGGTTTTCATTGAAGTGTGCTGCTAGCGTAGGTGTTAATGAACATGTGGGTCGTACAGATGTATTCTGTGGTGCAGGTGTTGAGTTTGATGCACTACTGCTAGAGGTATGATTTGGACCTGGTGATGGACTTCTTTGACTACTAGAAGAAAGAATTAAAAAAAGTAAGTGAGCATTTAAAAACATACAAAAACCTACAGAGAAAATGAACACTGAAAATTCATTGCTTCCAGGCACAAAAATATATGAAGTCTTCAAACCGTAAGTAAATACTTCTGGTAGACCCAGCCTGTGCCACCTTTCTACAAACCTCTAACTTTTATTGGAACTGAGTGCTACAATGTAACAGGAAGTTTTTGTTGTTTGGTAGAGTTTTGTGTTTGTCTGGTTTTTAACTCTGAGAGCTGTTCAAGAGATGCAAGCTGTGCCTAGATGGTGCTGGATAGAAAATATATACATCTGTGTTCTTCCTTCAAACAGCTGCAACCTTAAGATTTTCAGTAACCATGTATCAGATGGGAGTCAAAGAGGTTTATTCAATAGAGGTTTGCCACAATAATCATTAAGAACAATGCCGGATGTCCTGATCTGAAAATACAGCCAAACGGGATTTGAGGAGTTTACTCTCATGTCGAAACACAACCTACATGGTTGTGTGACATTGTACATCTTCACTGAATGCACTCAGGAGAACAGATGTATCACAGGAGCAGTGTGTTTGTAGCCAGCAAACTTGACTGCTTTACTGGAACATACTGAGCATAACAGTGATGGTACCTCACAGTTAAATGTTCTTTGGCAATACATACACTAAGAAATAGTAGCACTAATCGTGTAAGTACCACTCTCCCACTGGCAGAAGCTTCTCAACACAGGCCATTATTTCAGTCTACTTCTTAAAACTTTATACCATTTGCAAGCAAGAAGAAAATATTATGAAGAAGAACCAAATTTTAAAGGACTTTTGATTCATCACCTTACCTGTCGGTCCCCTTGAAGACTGAAAACATCCCTACAAAATACAACTATTTTTCTAGTCCAATGCCCAGACATTTATCCTAATCAACTTACACTTGCAAAGAATTACAGTGTTAAGAATTACAGCCAACACACTGGATGTCTGACATGGACCTGCTGGAACAAAGCCAGAGAGTCACCAAGTCGACGAGAGGGATGAAGCAGTTCCCCTATAAAAAAAACAATTCCTCGCCTCTTTTCAGAGTTTATGTGAGTCACAGCATCTGGAGCACTGTGTAGTGGGAAGCCTAAAACCAGACAAGAACTGAACTGCTATAGCAAAGGAATGTGGCAGAGGATCACACAGGCGACTAAGGGGCTGAAGCACATGCTGTATCAGGAGAAGCTTAAAGTTTATCCAGTCTGGAAAACAGAAGGCTGAGGGGAAGGGGATCGAGGGATCTTTTTACAGATTTTTACTACTTTTGGGGAGAACAGGCTCTTTTCAGAGATGTGCACTGATAGCACAAGAGGTAGAGATAAGGTGCAACAAGGGAAATTCTAATTAAACACAAGGAAAAAAAAATCACCATAAGGGCAGTCAAGTATCAGAAGATATTCTGAGATATTAAAAAAAAAAAAAATCACTGAAATAATGCCCTTAGCAATTCAAACTTGCCAGTCCTGCACTAAACTGGGACCAAACTAGACCACAACTAGCATTCAGTTCCAAAGTAAATTATTCATAGTTTCAATGTGTTAATTTAGCATCAGCATAGTGATGGTGCAGAGAAGGCTACTTTCATTAATTAAGTAGAAATCAGGTATAACCTTATTTACTCCGTAGTTCTACTAGAATTAAAGTTCCCCCTGTGACTAGCCTCCTCTTCATTTATCAGCCTGTCTTCTAATTCATCAGTAAAAATCACTCTAACACATCAACATTTCAAGAAAATAAATACATAAAATCTGTGGGCTTTTCAAAAATAAAGTAGTGTCTTAATTACGACTAAAATATACTGTCATAAAATATCCTAGGCACTGCTATGCTAGCAGCAGGGGGAGCTACGAATGCAGCAATGACTGTTCCAAACCACCACAGTATTTTCAAATGCTTCACTAAAAGCAAACACTTGCCTTAGCTGAGCTGAAGACTGACTATGTTCCAAGTAACAGAATGCCTCCAGAGGGGCAAAAATATCTGTAACAAGGGTACGAGAACACAATGGTTCTGAAATACACTACTACAAACATCGGAATTTTACAACATAAAAAATGGAATATATTTTAAATATCTCCCTTCACAGCACTTTCCCAAGGTAAAGGAAAAAAATTGCTCAGTCCTTTCTGAAAACAAAAAGAACCTGATTAAACTATTAATTATGGAAGTACTCATTTAGTTTGAATTTTAAAGCAGCCATAATTCATGGTGCATCTTTGGAATAATCTCTGACAGACAGACTCACTGTATGCCTGACCTATGTTAATCTACCAATTTAAATGGCCGAAATGTTCACTTCTTCAAAGTTAGCAATAGCTACTCAGGTTTTAATACACAGTGTTTCCACCCCAACAAGTCAAAAATAATTTTAGCTCCATTCACTTAAAATTTTTAATGAGCCAAGGAAATGTAGTTGTGATTAACTTCTGCTCAATTAATCTGTATTTAAGCTGGAGAAAAATGCAACCTTAATTCACAGAGCTAAAAAGATTTTGGACCATCTGTCCACAGTTCAGTCTGTTAAATTGTTGTTCACTCCTATTGAAGTAAAGGACATTAGCTCCCAAGAGCAGTTCCCAATCCAACCAACTGCTTTCACCTACAAAGGAATCATCTGAACCGTATCAATTCAGACATACTGCCTGGATGCAGCAAGTAAGTAAATCAATCTGAGCTGGTCCACTTTCATTCAACTCCACTGCACTCAACAGAAGAAAATATCAGTCACAGAGGCTTTTCTAAGTCACCCATTCCTTAATCTTCCACTTGTTGAGAATGAGATGCTTCCAAAGCAAACTGAAATCACGTGAACTCACAGTGCACAATACAGAAGAGTCACCAACTCTTCTGTGTATTAATTCAAGAGATACAGGATACTGAACAATACTAACACTGTCTCAGTATCCTTCATTGTGGCCTGGACACTGCCTCCCCCTCAGCCATGGGGCTGTGCTACCTGCACAACACCCTGCTTCAGCAGTGCTGGGGCAAACTCAGCTTCTTCCACTAAAACGCTGATGCCAAATGGAGCAATGGTTTGCAGAGACAGCAGATCCCTAAACTCACTGTAGGTAAAGGTCATGCTGGAGTTCAAAGTCATGTAATGCAAAAGGAGGGTGAGGTATGGACTAGCAGGCCAAATGCCCAACAGTATCAACTCTCACAGACTCCAAGCCATAGTAAAGGTTTCCAAGAATAAGACTATCTTTCTTAAGAAGACTCCCTGTGGGGAAAGGGTGATGAGCAAAGAACAAAAAGGTCTGTGACAGAGCTGTTCCCCAAAACCTCACCAATTCCTCAAGCTTAGCTGGCTGCAAAGTGTAATTTTATTTTTGGTACTGTAATTCAGAAAGATTTAAATAGCACCCTTCATAATTACTAGGACTGGAGCTGGACATTTTGCCGTTATTCTCCTAGAAGAGATAAATTAGTTACAGGCTTGTAATTGGACAAAGACTAGAATCAAGTGTCTGTAAAACAGCCTACATTAACAACTCTGAACTTCTGACTTGCTTGTGTCTGTACCCTCAAACTGGTCAATACCGCAGGGTCTCCAGTAAAGTCAGATTTTGGGACAAGACAAGCACACAACAGATAACCCAGTCCACCAAAAAAACTCAAAACACAAAACAAATCCCTTCTCCCCACAGAAGCAAACAGTCAAAACCAACAAAGAAAACAAAGGTCCCCTTTGTTATTAGTCCCAGAAGGGCAAATAAAAGGACCTCACTATTTTATGATCTGGAAAGGACCACCACGTGTAGCTTCAGGTATGCCAACAATGCAGGAGTATTGGGTTTTGGTTTTTTGCTTGTTTTTTAATACCATACCACAACACACACCTTATTCAATCACTCTAAAAATTCAACTATTAAGAACTGTAGATTTACAGAACCTCTAAAAATGTCAACTGCTTCCTGCCACAGTTCTATACCATGACTCCATCACAAAAGGATCTCATGACACATCTTTGGTTACAGCCCCTGGAACCAATGACAAAACACAGAGCATCTGACACTACTATGAAGAGTCCATGTCCCCAGAAGAAAAATTTTAAACAAGATACAGATTCTAAACCCACCTTGTAAATCAATTGTTAAATGCTGTTATCATGCAACATCTGAGTAAGTTGCAATGCTGACAAAAAAGTCTGGCTAAGGAAAGTATTTGTGAAATTTACTTAATTTTTAACGTTTTTCATTAGAGCAGCAAAATCACCTGACAAACCAAAAAATCATGCCAATTTCAAAATCAAACTACACTACAGCAAAACACCACAAACATCTAACACTAAGCAAATCACAGATTCTGTAACTGCACAGAGACAGAAACTCCCAACTCTGAAGTTACAATACAAGCAATCACTTGTAAAATTGACACCAGAGTGAGAGAATACAACTATGAGTTCCATTTTGCTTTTGTCAGAATGGTCGAGTGATTACCCCAAAAATGAAGAATCTACCACATTAACTATGTAATAAAGATACTCAGCTGCATCATCTCAGCAGCAGTAGCAGTTAAATCAATAAATGGGCCAAAGAAGAGTCCACTAACTGCAACATATACAACACACATTGAATGCAGATAAAAAACTAATGACAGAACAGAGAAGCATTTCAATGTACCTTGAACGCTGAAGACTTCGTGGAGAGGCAGGCTCATGACCCGCCTGCTTGTCAGCTATTACTGGCTGCTGAGGTGCTGCCTGGGAAGCTGGTCCTTGTTTAACACCTGGAGTAGCAACCTGGAAAGTACAAGTTTTCATTAGAATTCCTCCACAGTAAAGAGCAAGTGTTAAGAAACAGAGAAAACCAAGGAAATTACAGTTTCAAAACCTGTGGGGTTTTTCTGATACAAGGCCTTTTGTTGACACAGTTTTTATCCTCTTCAAAAGGTGTTCTTCTAAAAAAAATTCTAGTTCCACAGCTGTGACAAAAAGATTTTTTTTTTACTAAGTAGGGGTTATTAATAGACATAACAGAAGCAAATTTAGGCTCATGTGACTTGTCAAAATATTGCAAGCTTATTAAGCAAAATAGTTCAACTCGAGATTATTTTTGACTATCTTCCATCTGAGCACTGAGCTAATTTTCAGCCTCAGAAGAGTTGTTCATTACCCAAATAACATCTTCATGTACAAACTTAAGAGCTCCCTACTTGAAAATACATTACACAGTGTCAAGAATATAATTACATCACAAGCATATTAAAAACATCTCTATCAAAAAAAAAAGAAAAAAAAAAAGAAAATCTAAAGCATATTTATCAGTTTGCTGCTCCCTTTTCTCTAAGTTCTAAACTCACAGGTGTCTACATAAATAGTCATCAGTACCTTCCTGCTTTTCCTCCGTAGTACACATTCAGTGCAAGGTATTAAGATACCAGCAGTAAGATACAGTCTTCTCTGTGTATTTCTGAACTATGTCAGGATGAGAAGTGTGGGAATATAGTAATGTCTAATTTACAGCAAATTAACTTCAAGATACTTCATCTTCCCCAATACTCTGCATACCTCAGTCAATTTTAAAAGTACATTCAAGAGAGATTCGGCTTCAAAATTTATCTACCACTCCACAAAATCAAACTATCAATTTAATGAGAAAAGGGAGGGAGCAAAGAAAAAACGGCTTTTAGGGATCCATAAAGACAAAAAACCCCAAACTTTCCAGCCTGTCTGGCCTTTGCTGACTGCACATTAGTGTAGATTACTAACTAACTAGTGGTCACCTGAACCTCCAGAAATTCTCTATTTTAGAAACAGACTTTGTGAAACAAACACAGATGGTAGACGCTATCTGAAAAGACACAGACACTATCTGCTAAAGCAAACTCAAGACATAACTTGATTCATTTAAATACACAGCAGGGGGTCTTAATGCAAATTCAAATTCTTATATGTCAAGAGGAAAAGTCACTTTTTAAAATTATCAAAATGAAAACGTTTTCTTTTTGATTTTTTGATTAATAGGCATATACTAAAAAAGTCTGAGGAACACATGAAAAGCCCATGGCACTAAAAGGAAAAAGCAAGATAACTGTAAGATCACTCTGCTGTTGAAATAAACAGAACTATACAGTTGAAGGGGGTGAAACAGTAGCAGTCAGTAAGCTGATTTATGAGAACAGACTACACAAGTACCTTTATAAAATGTGTGACATGAAGAACTTTGCTGTTGATGCCTGCATTTTGCTCAGCCTGTGAGCAGACATTAAACCAAGTTGCTCAAAGAGAACAATTTCAAAAGAGAAGTCCAACAGCAATAATGGGATCATGCTGCAGATCCAAACTGGTAAAGTAACCAGCTCCTTGGCTGGTAAAAATAACAAAAAACAAAGAAACAAACAAAACAAACAAAGCAAAACAAAAACAAAACAAACAAACAGGAAAAAACCAAACCAAACCACAACAAAAAAACAACAAAAAACCAAAAACAACCAAAAAGGACCTTAAAGAAAAGGTGGGATTTATAAGATAAATGAACCACAAAACCTCTCAACTATTCCATGTTTTCCAAGTGTTTCAAAGACTGTAAATATATACAGCAGAAACAGAAAAATAGTAAGGGCTAAATAAATTCAAAAAATAAACAAACCACCCAACCAAAAGTAACATTCTCACTGAGCTTGACCAGTCTGTGCAAGGTGCATTACACAGCTATTTTGCAGAAATTCAGAACAATTTCTGATCACACAACACAGGCACAGCTAAAAGGCAAAAGATGACACCCAGGCTCCTGCAGTCTGTGACCCCTGAGCTGCACACAGCACACCTGCAGGCAGACACACCAGCTTCAGTCTGAAAACAGAACTGACATGTTCAAGCAGTCCTAAGCAATAGTACTGTGCCAATGGCACTACTGTAGCACCACAGCCAGCTCAAATACCTGTGCATCTGGCATTGGGCTCTTGCACAGGGCCAGCTCAGCTTTGTCTACCCTAAGCACATGTGCTCGAAAATCAAGTGTGTGCACAGCATCACGTCTTGATTAGGCATAACTTACCTCAAACCTTACAACTGGACAAGCTAGACTGACTGACATATCCAACAGGCTACTAAAACACACATGCTCACACTGGAGCTATCACCAAAGTTCCCATCTCACAAACTGAGCTACATAAATACAAGAACTATCAAGATAGTTCTTTCCCTACTGAACTGGAAAAGTATCTGCTGCTGAACCAAAATTTGTTACTTCTGGGACTAACAAACAATCTCTGGGCCGTAGAGACCAGAGGAGCTCTACTTCCAGTTTTCGACAGTACACAATTTAAGAAGACTCTTTTTCTTATCTCAGGATTTGGAAGTGCCAAATATTTCAACGTTGCTATTTGGTAATTTCATTACTTGCCACCTAGCTATTGGATGTGAACACAGGTTGAGGATGCAATCCAGGGGCAAGAAACCAAGGTAACAACCAGTACTGGTACGCACATGAAGCTTTTGTAATTTATTGTATCATTGTCACTCACAAGAAACTGGGAGAATAACTTAGTTTTCTTTGTAGCCATGAAAAATATCTGATTAAAGAAAATAAAGCATTTTGAATATAATGAAAAATGCCACGTGTTCTCCTGAAAAGTATTCCTCAAAAGTATCCAAGACACTAGAGGTATGCTTATGAGCAGAAAATTGAGAAAAAAACACCTTAGCTAAGCAGGGTGGTGATAGAGAACACATATTTTAGGAATGTGGGGGTATCTCTCCCCAAAGTCTACAGTCATGCTTCTTAGAAAAAACCTCAAGAGCTTATACGTTAGCTTCAATTTACATTTTCTAGTCACTGATCCAATGAAGGAATTCTGAACAAAGAGAGGTGAGGGGGCAGGAAGGGAAAAGGACATGATATTATTGATCTGTAAACATCTAGAACATTTCTAAACCAAATCTGACACTACATCAAGTTCATTTCCTCAAGAAGTTCTCTCCCATTCTGAACATCTTTTATTGGGTAAGTTTAGAGAATTGTGTCAGCTGTTGCCTTTGAAGTATTTTTTTGTTTCTATTTAAATATGCTAGAATATGAATGCCTTGGTAATATCTCCAGACAGCCTCTGAAGCCAGCACAAGAATTTCTTCAGGAAAAGTAAACTAGATTTCCTGCTGAAGCTGCAGTGCCAAAATACAGTCAAGTAGTTGCTTCCAGTTGTTTGTTTCTATTGGGAAAGATAACACACATATTTTATGATCCTATATACAACTGTGTGCACATGGATATATAGGAGCAATACTTAGTATCATGTATAATGGCTTCTTACTACAATATGTCACAAATCAACAGGAGCTTACCTTCTGCTGGGACGATACTGGTGGCGTAGTCATCAAAGGTTTAAGTGGAACAGCGTTAGTCTGCGGCGTGCTTATCCTCGGAGACACGTATGATCTTGGCGATGAGGCATCCGATGTTAAAGACATTGGAGACTGATTAGATGGCTGAGCTGTAAAGGAAAAAAAATTGCTTTTAATAAAATCATTTCCAATCTTAAATGTGAATTAGGTTTTCTTTTGGCACTTTGGAGTTTGCTATATTAGATGATACACAAATGCGTTCACTGTGAGCAACCAGAACAATCACATGTTCAACAACAATCCTACCTAAGGAATTGCATTTCCCCTAAATTCCCCACTTCTAAAATTTCAGAGGAGGAGGAAAGAGAAGAAGCTATTAGGAAATGCTTTTTAAACAAGAAGAGACTAAATCATTTGTGACTCCTATTTTAGAGTGCTCAACTTGATTTAACCAAAAGAAAGCAAGAACAGTTTATATAGAAACCTATTAACCCATTCTAGGCATATACCAACAATTCCCCACCCACGGTTAAATATTACCATTAGTACTGCTTACCTACTCATTTATTGTAGGTAAATTCATTGTTTTGATTTAAGTTTCTAAATCGAAGTTTTAAAGTTATTTTATTAAGTTACAAGCCAGAACATATTGAAACACCTGAAACAGTATCTTGCCTGGAAGATGAAAAAAAAGGCTCCCACCATACAGAGTCACAGTTGCACAGTACTACAAGATGAGTGTTGAAGTAAGGAAGAGTTGTGTTTTATACTGTTAAATAACACGGAATTCCAACCCAAAATAAAATTGAGACGGTCTCACAGAAGTTTCATATTACTCATACAGAATTACTTAACATACAAAGAAAATCCCAAAAGGTGAGACAAAAGCATGTTTACTTAGTTGTGTGTCAGGCTCCAGCTCTTCAGTAACAAATTTTTATCCTCTCTTTGGAAAAAGACGTCATTCAGCATTCCCCACACCGTGTGGCCAAAGTTATGACAAGAGACAGATACTACAACTGTATCAGCCTTTTTAAAATACTGTGTAACAGATTTACATAAGTGAAAAAAAAAGACTCTGAATACCTTGCGTAGACAGTTGTGCAGCTTGAGAAATTAGGGAGGTGATATTGAAAGCAGATGGTCCAGCAGTAAGAATTTTATGGAGTATAGACTGCAGAGAGGCTTGTGTCACAGCTGCTGTTAGAACTGAAAACAAACATTCTGTTTAACTGACAATTCTAGACCACCACTTTAAACTGTTCAAACTGGCTTAATTGCATTTAAGGTACATTTTCTTTCAGATTACTTCCCATATCTACCACGACCAAAGATCCACTTGAATTTTCAGTTACTTGATTTCAAGTTTACTTGGAATGTCTAGCAAGTCCTTTCTTTAGTAGTTTTAACTTAAAGATATACACTTACAAAAATTCTTTTAAAAATATCTTCAACATTTCTGCTTGACCTTATGGATCAGTAATAATTCTTGTAAACAGCAAGAGAAAATTCTTTCAATTTGCTACTGTAGTAAGCAGAATGTATGTGAAGTTTTTTTACCCTGCAATAATTTTTTTAAAAAGCAAAAAGCATAATCACTTTAACTCACTAAAAGAGATGGGGGGCAGACTTCATGTTCATGAGGAAAACAAATATCTTTTAAGTTCAAAAAAAATCTGTGTTTCTTCTTATTAATAAAAAAAACCCCTTATCTGTTCTGGATTTAGCTGTCCCATGCCATCCCCCCCAAGTTAAAAAAGGTCATTTTTAACCATTTTAAAACTGCATAATACAGGAACAGCATCTTGCAGTATGAGATTACAAGACCCTGAACCACGAGCTTCTGAACTAACCTTTCCAAAAAGGTCTACAGGCTCTGTGGGATACTTCCTGAACATACATTCCACCCATGCACGCTCCTGAAAAAAACTGACTCACCAGCACAGAGTAACTCTGAATCACGTTCACAGTAAGGGCAGCCCTGCTGTGTAAGGTGAAGTCACTCTGCCTACACAGACAAAGCCAGGCCCTCATGCCATCACAACAATTATGAACACTCTTGTTCCAAGACATACACAGCTGCTGCTCAGTTATGGCAAGAGAAAATTACTAGAAATTTCACCAGGCAGCTTTTTAATAAAATACAATTGGAGTTGAGTGGACCTTTCATTTTTCAACACAACCATTACATTCCTTTTTTCAATCCAACCTAGTGCACTACGGTTTTAAGGCTTCCCCCCGCACAGGAAAAAGAAACCAGTGATCTACTCACCTATTAGTACTGAATGAAGACAGAATATTTGCTGATTAAAAGGAAGCAATTGACAGCTTTTTCTGATAAATAATTGCAAGGTACAGAATATTTTGTACATATTTTCACTTACTTGATTTGCACTTTCAGAAAGTTAAAGACAATTAACTCTCAGAACTAAAAGTAAATGTTTTACTTCCTATTTAAATTGGTGATCTGTGCACAAGAAGCAAACAAAAAAATTCTACACCACTTTATCAGCAGCCTGTCACATGCAGACACATTAGATAAAATTGCATTCAAAATACATCAACCCTACCTGCTCTTGCAGCAAAGGCACTATAGGTAAGTGATAAACTGACTTCTAACAAACTAAGCCAATGTGACAAAAATCTAAGGGACACACCAATTAAATGTACAAAATTTCACTGGCTAGCAAAGTTACTGATACGCTACCTGTATTCAGAGAGGCTAACTTGTTACGCCAAAGAAAAAAGTTGTTAGGCAACAAGATTTAAGAACCCCTAGAAGTTTCACTGATTGCAACACACATTAACAGAACAGCAGCACAAACTACAGAAAACAAAGAACAGTGCACGAAACAAAAGAACAAAGAGCTCTAGCAAAATATTGTGCAACAGACAAATGCTGATACAGAGATTAAGTCACCAGTCTCAATTAGACTGCTCATGTACATCAACATTTATCAATTTGAGAACCTTAAATGTTGAGAAGGTTTAATGGGAAAAAGCCCCACAAAAATCTCCACTTTGCCTAGGGATTCATTTAGTCACTTTTCATTTACAATAAGGCTTTCATTTACTACAGCCTGGTATCCAATAATACACTGATGTATGTAAATGAGAGATTACATGAACTTTAAAGAATCCTTACCTTCATTGATTTTGGATATATCTACGCTAGAATTATTAAGCTGCAAGGTGGCTTGCAGAGCAGGCAGCAGCTGTCGAAGGAGATTTGGGTCCTGAAGTAATGGAGGAATTGGTGATTGTGGGATAGGTGAAACAGGAACTGTAGGAGCAGATGAAGCAGGCGCAGAAGTTGGATTCAGTCCAGAAGCAGAAGATGTAGAAGGAGTTGTGCAAGAATGGGATACAGACTTGTCCACAGATGCAGACTCTGAACAGAAGACAGAAAGTATTTTTCATTTTCCCCAATATAACCTGACAACTCACTAGTACAATATTCAAATTAAATACAGAAGATCAAATGCCTAACTACCATTTTAAGAACAAAACTCTCAACATTAGTAGAACAAAAATTGAAGATAGCCAATTTCTAATGCAATTTACACTACTGAACCTAATATTTATTATAAGCACACACACGCAACTTTGCTACTTCAAGATACTGGATGAAAAGCAGCCAGTATTAAAAATGGACATTTTTTTCTTTAGCTTTTATGGCAAATATGGACCAAAATTTCCTATCATTTCTTTTACTGCGCCTACACTCCCATTCTACATTTTTACTTATGATTTCAATCTTCCTATATACTATGAACATATACTATGAACAAAACCTTAGAGCCCATGAATTTCACATATAGGCTACTGTGCCAAATCTGAGGGGCGGGTATAAGTCATGCTTCACTTATGAAGAGACCAGTACAAGATGCCACAAAGATAAGTCTGTCAGAACAAAATACAGCTATATTACTGAGGATTTAGAAAGGATAATGAGCTGTACTAGAAATGTAAAAACAGTGCTGTTACCATCCCCACAGCAGAGTGGAAAAATAGCTAAAAATTAATCTGCCCATAATAAATTTTTAACTTGTCAGCTTCTTCTGAAGCATTAAGACCTATACCCTTTATTTTATTAATACCATTTTAGGAAATATTACCACTTATTACCCACAGAAATACATAGTACTTAAATTCAATTATACTGTATGGCAATTTGTTCTGATTAATATGAATTATTTAATTAATTTTAAATATGACTTCCACTTAACAGAAAGTTGCTCTTCCATTCCAATACCATGAGAAATCTCTGCAATGAAAGTGTTTCAACTTACTACAGATGTACCATCAATCACTTCAAATATCCTTCCTTTAAGAAAACCTGGATCATTATACTTTAATCTTAGCTTCCCCTTCCCTCATCCTCATTAAACCCTCAGAGACCCCTGCCCCCAAAGTCAGTCAAGACTAACACCTCTACAGCACCAAAGAAGTTGGATGCAGAGCGTAAAGCTACAGATCCAAGATCTCATGCAGGATGTTTGCCTACAGTAATGAAGACCTGAATTTTAAACCCACCTTAAACTGGGCAGAGAAGGTCAACCTGGATAGTCTACATTACAGGCAAAAGTTTAAATGAATTGGGAAAATGGGATGGGAAGTTATTTTATTTAAGGGTGTGCTTGGTTTTTTTTTGTTTGGAGAAACGGTGAAAGTAAGATGATGCTGACTTTATTAGTAAAGAAATGAAAAGGTCTTGTTTTGTTTTACTACTTTACTACTACTATTCACTTTACTAAATCTTACAGAATTTCTAACAGTTTTTGTATTCCAATAACCTTAACTGCAACTTCCAAGACTAATTTGGAGAAGAACCCTAAAAAAATAAACATAAAAAATTACAGAAGGGAGTAAAAACATGTAAATCTTTTCACTAAGATTTCTAATCTCACTGGGAAGAGGATTTCTACTCCCATGCTGTTACAGTATAAAGGTCACAAATACTCCAGAAAACTTTTTTCAGACAAGCAGCTGAGAAATCTGAACAGGAAAAAACCTGCTGAAGAATCCAAATTTGAAAGCTTGAAAGGATGCAACAGCCAAGACACAAAGACATACTTTGGAGTTTCAGGTGAAAATCTGAAAAAGATGTGCCCGTATCTAGTTACGGTCTCCTCAGAGTTGGCTGCAATGTATCTGTGAAGGGACCTGGTCATTTGGCCAGGAGCTTTGGTAAGAACAACTTAAAAAGGGACAAAAAGGGTTACAAAGATTGAAGGCAGGGAAAAAAGCAAAACCAGTTACAAAATTTCTGTATGGTTTTCATTAACACCTGAACTAGGACAGCTGATTAGGTATTAGTTACCATTAAAACACTAAGTCATTAGTAAAAGTTTTAGTTATAAATATTGCATATAAAATCATATGTTATAATATTCAAAATAAACATTAAGACAACTGCAGGCCGAGACACACCTAATAAACAAGAATCTTATCATACAAAACAAAAACATGTGAAGTTTAAATTGAACTTGGATCTGTCATAGTCCAAGTAAGATCAAGATACACTGACAGACAAAAGCAAGGGAAATAAGCACAATGGGACACGTTAGTACTTATATGAACAAGCCTGCTACCTACAGTTTTGAGAACCTTACCAGAAAAACAATCATTAAAAAAAACCCAAAACACAAAATAGTCTCATTTCAAAATGAAAAAAGGATACAGAGCAACTGCCAGCACTTATTTCAAAACATATTTAATGTATTTAGGCTTGTCTTCACAATTAAACATTAAGTTATTGTAAGTAAAGAAGCAACTCACTACTGTGTTATTTAGTCATGTAAGCAAAAACCGGACCCTCAAACCATATCACCATACCAAACAGCTGGAAGTGCTTTTCGCCCATGCTGCAGTTCTGAATAGAAAATACACTGAATCAAAGACAAGCTCAAGCTAACAAGGCAGTTAAAATAAACCTTATACCCACCCAGTTCTGGGTATTCACTTATTTCTTGAATAACAGAACTCAAAACATGTCACTCAAACCAGTGAATTCCACAAGGCCTGTAAAACTGTTTTAGTTTGAGATTTTATGCTATAAAAATGCACACTGAATGGCATCTACACAATACAGCCAAGTTATTTTTTTCAGACAATACACTATTTCATAGCTATATTACACCAGGTATTTACGTATGTGTTAAAATATATCTATGAAAGGTATTTTTGTACAATCACCCTATTAAATCTAGAGAAAAGATACAAAGCAAGGATAATGCCTAATGTTAAAATGCTAACTTTCCAATCTTCTGAGATGTTTAACAACTCAAAATCAAAACACTGTTATAAAAGAATGCGTCTCTATGATTATGACTACCTACATGTACACATTAGAATTGGTATTTAACAGCACAGAGGACACAGAGTAAAATGACTGTTCAGAGCATCACTGCATTACACAAATTAATTTATTATTACTGAAATTCAAGCTATAAACCTGTTTCTGGGAAAAAAAAAAAAGCCAGAACCCTGTAAAAATATTGGTAGAAATTCAAGTATTTCTTGTTAGTAGTAAGTAGCTGCGCTGGCTCTGGCCAAGACAAGGTTAATTTTTGGAGTAGCCAGAAGGACTGGTTATTCTATACCACTTCACTCCCAGGAGCAGGGGAAAGGGAGTTGTTTTCCAGTGCCATAGTGTGAATTGTCTCTCTTGCACACCCTTTCATTAATGTTGTTGCTGTTAGTGTTCCTTTCTTATTTCATTGCTGATTCCTGTAAATTTTTCTTATCTCAACCTGCAATCTTTTCCTTTTGTGCCTCCAATTCTCCTATCTAGCCTGTCACAGGGGAGAGAGAGGAAGCAGTGAATGAACAGTGCATGGGGAACACTGATCATAAACCTCAATAGCTTTATGTGTCACCCATTGGGGAACAAAGGCTTGAGATAATCAGATCTGAGCAGAGCGATTTGAAACAAATTTGATTTAAGCATTTGCTGTACCAGGCAGGGAGTCAATGGTCACAATGTTGCTTGGTCTGTTCACATGGTTGTGGCACCTAACACTGTATATACTATATATGTATATTATATGTATGCCTTGTGTGCCTACCATGGTAGTTTTTTCAGAGCAGGGAGAGAGAGGGATCAGGATTGCTGTGTTCAGTATTCAGTGTTCAGTTTTTTACCCTTCCTTTGAGGCCCACCTCTGGCGGTCCACTAAATTGTACCTAGTCTGTGGGGGAACAGGGACAGGTCCCCACCTTTTTATCCCCTTTTTCTCTTTCATGCGTGTTAAACCAGCTTTTTTAATTTTGGATTTCCTCTGGTTTTTTAGAATAGCGTGGTCTTGTTGCTATGTCTCTTGAGTACAGTCTATATCACATTTAGAGTCAAGAGAGAGATTTCTAACAAGGTCTATCCTGCAGGTGGATTGTCACGAGTGGTAGGGAACGTGGGAGAAAATGGGCCAGTTTTGGGGAAAATTCTCTGCTTCAATGGTTTTGAAGTTCACCCCTGAACAACTACAGGATCCTGATAAAGCAACAGAGTATTTTCAAGGAGGAATATGTGACATCTCTAGAGGGGAGCAAATCACTGCAATTATGTTGGGCACTGGCTCCTCTTTACCAGACACAATTCAGTAGCAGAGTCCCTCTGGGAGAACAGGAGGAAAACAAACAAACACGCACTGAGACCACGCAAACAGCTGCTGAACCTGAAGAAAAACCTGTAGCAGCTGCCCCTGTACAAAAGAAGAAATACAAGATCAAATCAGTTCAGTTAGCAAGGGATGAAGAGGAAGTAGAACCCTCGCAACAGCAGGAAGAAGAAGGGCCAAAAATAATCACCCAATCCCTGTCCCTGGGTTGTGAGATATGCAGAAAGATTTCAGCTGCCAGTCAGATGAATCCCTGGTGACCTAGCTGCTCAATGCTGAGGTAGCAAGGCCCGTGATACGAAACGAGATGGTAGTGAAGCCAAGCAACTGGGATCCCTGTCCTGGGACATGGGTATTGAAAAGGGAATTGGGACAAAGACACACTCTCAGCCTTTGGAGGTGACTCCTCTCATGCAGAAGGCAAGGCATTGTCTCAAGGACAATCTAGTAGGCACCCCACCAGGGTGTCTCAAGGCAATCTAGCACCCCACCAGGCAGAATGCCATGGAAAAAGGGTATCCAGTATGTGAATCAGATGTGCTGGAGGTAATATCTACAGAGATTCAAATAACAAGCAGTCTCCTGTACGTTCAGATCACGTGCAGTACACACAATCCATGTAGCAGAAGTTTGTACAGAGCATGCCACTGTCATACGCCAACTCACTGGCATTAATGTCGATGAAAAGAGAACAAGCAGTGCTTCATGTGACTACCCAACTGCAGCAATATTAAGATCATCTTGACCCACACCTCAGCTGTGGAGACTATCC